GAATGAAGGAAGGGGGGGGGGGGGGGGGGGGAGTTGAAAAAAAAAGAAATGATTAACCAACAAATTGAGTCAAACCAAGAAATGAAAAAAATAAAATAAAATTATATATATGTATATGTATATATCGAAAAGACAAGTCCTCACTCAACAAGAAAGAATAGTTACAATACAACAATTCTTATCAATAGTCGAACCTCATATCCATTACATAACAAATACAAGAAAGAAATTAGAGAAGAGAACGGAATACAAATACAATGCATGACAACACAAATACACAATACCAAAAAGAACAGTCCAAACTGCGGGTAACCACCTTAATGTAGAATTCTATCAAAGTTAAAAATATTTTTCAAATTGGTTTAATACCAAACGTATATCACCTTGACATTGCATTCACTTCCTAGTTTAACTATCAGTAACCCATTATCGACATCATATGTAAATTCTTCTTTCTTCCCGTCTACAGTGCAATAGCTCGGTTTCCTGCTAGAATAGGCTCCAAAACGGCCACAACCTCGTACATCAACTCTTACTTTGCATCCCGAAGAATCCGGACAGGATAGATTTTCAGTCGCACCCCCAGAGTTGTACATATCAATCAATCCCAGCGGGGCTAAGTGAATATTTTCATTCAAAATCTGTAATTTGATACTCATTAGTACCCATGAATGCACAGGTTAACTCTGTTAACGAATGAGTTGCCAGTTTACGTACCCGTATTGGAGAGATGGTAAATATTTCGCATTCAAGGGTAAGCAGGGACACTTCGAGCCTACCTTCTTTCGGAGTTTTAGAAAGAGATCCTATGGCACGAGAATGTAAACTGTTAATATAGTACGTAATAATATCAAATAAGAGAAAGAAATTAAAGTGTTGTCTATTACGATCTAATACAACAATACCAACATGCACTTAATAGATAATGAACCTACCGGAATGGAAAGCATAGACAGCACAATCTCCGCTCCAATTTTCACCAGCAACTTCACCAAGGAAATGAACGTCAAGAGGACTCACATGGCCCGATAAGACGAGAGATTTAAACACGTTTTTCGATCCCTCTTTCAGTGGCCACTTTCCAGCCCCTTGGCAGTTGAAAACACCAATCACTCCAGACAACTTATTTAAGTTCCAAATTTTCAGTAAGCTGCAGAAATCCATGGAGTTTAGATCATACAATGTAACATGCTCCAGAATTCAATATTCAACTTTTTCCCCATCGTGTTACCTTTTCCCATCCATTACCGGGTCGACAAACAAGCAATCCTGAGTAGGCCGACCAGCATATTTAGCTCTCAAGATTGAGCCATCAGGCAACACCAACTTCTTGAGTAATTTAAAGTCGTGTTCGGTCGCCTTGTCACTGTAATAGTCATTGATATCCCCCAAAAATGTTGATTTTTATAACAAGATGCAGATAAAAAAAGAATGTCTTCAATTCATAAGTTACCTAGCGTACACTGCACATCCACCCACTGCTCGTGCTGCACCGTGGAACTCAGCTGTGTTATGATGGCTCTAAAACAATACAAAATGCGCATTCTCAGTTCGTAAGAACTTACATTTATGGGGTGTTTGATAGGCATTTTTATGCAAAAATGTATTTTAGAATAGTAAATTGATGTAAAATGTGTGGTTGAAAAATAAGGAAATTTTTTTGATTTACGTGTAATATTATTTTAATAAAGAATATGTAATTGAAAAGAAGATAGAGAAAAATGCATTTTGAAGAAAATGGCTACCAAACGGGGTGTTAATTTGAGGTGATGATATCTCCAAATTGGTTGAGAACATAAGCAGCAAAACAAAATCAGCCTTGTCCATTAAATCTTTCTTACATGTTCTGTAAATTGCAACTTTTAGGGAAAAATTAACTGTGGTAGTGCTTAATGTAGTTATGTTTTATCTGGTAGCAGAGAACAAAGAGGCCCTTGAGTTCATGTCTTGTTGCCCTCCCATTTAAAAAGCTAGAGTCCTCGTGAAAAAAGAATTTGGCGTGCTCGTGAAGGGACATGTTGAAGATATCATTTAAATATATGGAAAAAGCTGATTGTACAGCATTTCTTTTACGATTTTTTTCACAGCCTCCTCACAAAGGTGAGGTCCGCAATTATTTTAATTACGGACCCCACATATTGCATGTGTGTGCTATAGACCATGCTATGAAAATTGATGTACCCATAGCATGTTTCTAAATACATATATTAATCGTCTTATAATACTTCAAAATTTTAGATGAGGTTGTTCAATATAAGTGGCCTCTGTGGACAATGCAGTTCTTGAATCCATACCTGAAACATGTCCCAATCTGGCACCGTAATCTCCCCTAGAAGAAGGCTATTATAAGCCACTGAAGCAATATGTAAAGTCTGATACATAGGTTCCCACGGCATGAAATCTTCTGATGCTCTTGCAGTTGCACATCTCTTTGAGCTGAAAAAATTACAATCAATCAGTAACTTTGCCCCAACTTCATGAAAATGGCTGATCAAGGTCAGAAAAAAGAAGCCTTCGAACCTGTAAATGGAGTCAGAGTTGTGACACATGCAGCAAATCACATTATTTTCTTTAAAATTTCTTGCGACGGAATCCTCGAGTGCTTCTTGATATTTTCTAGTGAGGACGACTCGTCCACCATAGCCCGTGCCTAGTGCCTCTATGACATTTTGGACGTCCACCTTGACTCCGTCAATACCACAATGTGAGAGGTAGCTATGGAGATCAATATAGAAGTCATAAATTTTCTGTGGATCGACTAAGCCGATTCCGTATTTTTCCAAACTTTCCATGGCTATATCTCGAAGATTTCCAACATTGCCGGGAGACTGTACAGGATATGATATCTTTGGATTGTACTTTTTCATTTTCTCTGATGATGGAGAGAGTCCTCCCCAATAACCAACCAAGGCATGCCAAACGTAAACAAATCTACATGAATCAATAATGTTAAAAGTTTTCAGCAAGGAAACCATTGCGAAGAAAACAACTTTCAAAACTAAATCATACTTCAGTCCATATTTTTCTTTAATGAATTCCACAAACTCGTGCAGATCAGTGCACAAGTCTGCTCCTAAGCCTAAAAACTTGCTGTTTTCCTTGATGTCCATTAATCTACTAGCAAACCTGCATGTTACCAGAAAATACAACAAAGTTAAAAAGGAAAGGGGGAAAAACAACATTTTCTTAAAGAGCCATCAGTCTATGAAAAGGATTTACTTACTCTGTTCCTCGAATAAATGGTTCCCCCTCCTTCTGGAATTCGTTAAATGTATCTTGCCATCCGTCATCAATTATCAAGAACTTCGGAGGGCAACCTCCTTCTATAAATCTGTTAGAAAGCATATATATTCAATATAATGGATAATGACATGTAAGGTAGAGAAGATTGGACAATAGTGAACAATATTATGAAAGAAAAGGAAGCCATAATATTAAGTTGAGTCGAGCACTGCATGCCAAATATGTACTCGTAGTGTAATTTTATTAATCTTAGACCCTCTTGAGGTACCTTTCAAGACCTTCTTTAATTCCCCGTGGATTAACGTCTTTATAGAAAGCATCCCACGTGCACCATCCAAACCAGTCTAAATGTACAGGTTTCTACAAATCGAAGCAAGTGATTCAGATTAAAACAATATTTCATATCACGACTACTACGACCCAGTTAAAATTTCTGAAGTTCATACCTTTTTGTGTTCAATATGAGTAAAAGTACCCATGTGCTTCTCGAGTATCCTGCACACAGAAACATTTTATGAGAAGTCACTATGCAAATTCGCCCTTTTTAAGCAATTAAGTTTCTAAGTAGAAATAGGTATCTAATTTTATATTCAAACTTTGCATACTTGAAGGAGTTCTTGATGAGTTCAAATGGGTCCTCCCCAGAATTTATGAGGACTGCTTCTGATACCCGAGTAGTTTGGACATAAGCATCCCCTGAAGCAAAAATGCGATAAAAATATTCCAAGATAAGTGCTAAAGTACCAGTCTTTAGGCCAAATATTCAGTGTGCTGATGGTATTAGAAAAGAGTCAACTTACCACTTTCAACGCAGAGCTCAAGCTCATTTGCAGGCGTCCCTAGCAAGGATGCTCTGAATTGTCCTTCCAGTAAGGGCAATAACAAGATATAGAAAGTGTTGTCCAAAGATTGTCGTGCAGAATCAACATCATATACTGCAGACTCTTCCTTCACTTCCAACAGAAGCATCTGAGTTTCGATTGGGATTTCACTTCCCGATTTCCCAACACGTGGTATCATCCACCAAATTTTGTGTCTGAAGAGACACAAAAACTTGCATTCCCTGCAATTCCCATATGCCATCAGTGATGACTTTTTGGAAAATTAGTATGGTGTAAACTTCCATTAAACCATCTAAAAATGCATCCTGATGAGTCAACGTGTACAGAAATGATCTCCTGCCCATATGCCACGTCACTGGTGGACAACATCTCTCCTGTCCACTAGGGCAGGAGATCACTTTTGTAATCATATAGGCAGCTATACTATCTTTCCAGAATCCCACTAGCATATCCACTTATCCATCGCATCTATTTATTATAATTTAAATCGTTCAAATTATCCAATGAAATTCAGGTTTTATTTTATTTTTTAAGAAATAAAAACAATAATTAACATAGAACCAATTGTACTTTGATCACTTTCCTGTTGATCCTGGTACCTCGTACTCAGAGCAGCCCATAAATGGAAATCTTCCATTGTATAAAACAAAAACTCAAAATATTTTCTCAATTTCTTAAGATTTTGAACTCACTGAAGAACTCCAAGAGAGAAAACATGTCTCGAACTGGGTACACATGAACTTGCACCAAGAAAAGCAGCAGATGAACAGGATGAAGAACCAGCAGCAGTTAAAGGATAAACAGTGACTTCTGACGGAACTCCAGACAACAAAACTTTCCCATTGATCATAAGAGAACGGTCTTTAATGCATGGAATGGCTGTGACAGTCATTTTAGCCCCAGTTTCTGATCGATCACTTTTACTACTTCCAGACCAGCAATTACGCAGATTCTTGGCGTGAACAGTAGGTTGAGAGTGAAATTTTTTTATTGGCGTGAAGTTAATAACTGAAAGAGGATTCTGTGAATGTGATGGTGAAGGATAAGTATAGAAAGGGTTGGTGTGTGACTTTACAAACCGCTTGAAGATTGTTCTGGTACCGTGTAGAGTAATCCTTGTTTGTGTAAAATAATATAGTCCTGTTGAAGATGACGCCATAGGTAGAAATAGAAACATTTGGATGTGTAGAGAGAGACCCATTAGAAAATGGCTTTCAAAGACTTGACCAGATCTTCATATTTCAATGTCTTTTACCCCTATTTTACCCCTATTACCTGAAAATAAAAATAGGAGAATAATATTTTTTTTAAAAATGAGTGATTAAAAAAAAATGTAAAATTTTTAATTTATGTGTAATATTATTTTATGAAAAATTGTGTAATTAAAAATATGAGAGAGAAAAATAAAATGTAATATAATTTAATTTAATGGGGATCAAACAGGGGCTTATTTTCTTGGTTTGGGTTGGGAGTGACAATTATCTAGAGAGGCTAATAGAGAAAATAAGGCCCATGTTTGATCCCCATTAAATTAAATTACATTACATTTCATTTTTCTCTCTCCTATTTTTAACTAAACAATCTTCCATAAAATAATATTACATGTAAATCAAAAAATTTTCCTTCTTTTTCAACTACTCATTTTTCTAAAAATTACTATTCCCCTCATTTTCATTTTCAAGTAATGGGAATCAAACAGGGACATTATTTTCAGCCTATGTTTGGGTTTAATTTTTGAACCTTGCTACATGTACACTATAGTTTACACTTTATTTTACACTTTGTCACGTGTCATTATCATATTGGACAGTTTAAATTTCAAACAATGTTTTCATCTAATTGACACTTGATAACAATGCAAGTGTCAATTAAAGTGTCAAAAATCAGTATTCAAATAACAAAGTTCTTAATTTTTTTTTGCTAAAAGTCACTTATCTAAAAATAAATGATGAATAAACAAATCATATTTATGGGCTCTACACGATATCATTAAAATTAAAGTTCGATTTTGAAAAGAAACACTTTTAGTTAAAAAACGAAAGTCAGACGTAGAAATTAATTGTTTATTTTATGGGATACATTAGCACATTTTGAGGAGGATGATTATTTTGACAAAACGTTCGCATAATATTCTTTTCTTTCTCTTAAACTCACATCCACTTCACTTTTGTAACTTTAACTTTACGATCAATTACTGAAGGTGAGGACACAATTTCCCTCCTAATTTTTTTTCTTTTGCTTGTCAACAAATATTCCATCTTTTATTTTCGACGTTTTAGCCATACTACTCAACTACTTTTGAGCTCACGTGTTGTTTGAAATGAAGGGTGACATTGTTTTGGGAACCATCATCGGTTCCCTGAAATTGTTGTTAGTAATTGGTTCAATTCGGTTCTCATCGAAAAATTGAATCAAACCAAACCATATATGGATATTTTTATGATCAATATTCACTTTAATATTTGAATAAGTAAAATTTGGTTATATGCATTCAAACATGTTAGTTTACCATGTTTTGTTTGTTCAAAGAATTTGTTTAGTAACTATTTGAATTATCAAAATAATTTGTTATTTTGAAACTATATACTAAATCATGTCTATGAAAAACTTGGTTGAGTCGAGTACTCGAACACAATCGAGTTGGTCGAGTCTTTAACTCTTGATTCTATCGGTTGCGCAAATTTTTCAGTCCTTTCACAATTGAAATGCTAAAAGGTGCCCAACCAAGTTTGAATCATCAAAATCATTTCATACATTTGCTTATGAATTTTATATAAAACTTGGTACAATAAACTACGCGACAAAGATAATGTATTATATTTTAAGCTATGGTCACCATGCTGGAAATATAAATCTTATTTAAAACTCTCCGAAAACAATTAATTCCACCGAACAGAAGAATATTTTAAATAGAGATTTGATGGCTTGTAGTCTAGAATTGTAGACTGTTAATAGAAGGTTCAAGAAGATTCATAAAACTGACAAAATGCTAAGTTGCAGAGTCGACAATATTGGACAAGATAATGGATAAATTTGTCAGGAACCACATCTTCCTTGATCACATTCAACGCGAGATAACATTGAACTGAACAACTAAATTAAAATTTCATCAATTCGACTCTTCCTTAAGTACATAATTTTCGACTAAATAATGACATTCAGTACATCACGCACAAACAAAAACTCCAAATACAAAACTGTGATCCAAACAAAAATACGCATTCAAAAGGCGAGCTACAAAAAGTTCGGTTTCCATAATCATAAAGAGATATCTTTACCAAAGAGTTCGGTTATTCCCTTCGCAGGGTCTTTCTGTTTAACAATCGACTCCCCAACCAGCACCTGTAGAAATCGCAAGGAAATATTGTCAGTTCTAATTTGCATAAATTGAAAATGTGTTATCCATAAGAGCTGAGCCCAAGCTGTACATACTGAAATCCATGTCCAGACAGATATGACAAAAAACTCTTAATTGTAATGAACTTCATTTGTGGGCAAGTGTTGAATGTCATGGCAACCAGTTGTACATGAATCATTTAAAAGCCCTGTTTAAATGTGCATGTCAACAAGCTTACTCGGGAGGACTATTTACAACTTAGCAATGCTTTTTAACCCCGAGTCGAGCATTGACCCAATAAAGGTAAAGAGTCGAGGGTCAAAAATTCGGCCAGACTTGAAGCAGATGTCTAAATATTAATAAATAAAGAAATACAGACACACACAACTATATCAATAACCAAAAATTGAGGTTCAATAATGTTAATAATATTCATAATATAATACAGGAAGATATATATTTCAAGGTTGGATCACTCCTTAACAAACTTTTTTTTTTTTTTCCTTTTTCTAGAAAAAATGAAGAAATGCAACCAAGAATCCAATCAACCAATGCCCAATTCAATTAACCGTCCGCTTGTTGACCAGGTTCATCCAATTTTGTAAGAGATGGTTCTAAGCTCCTATTTGCCTCCCTTTAAAAGAACTCTTTAATTCTCATATTCATTTTCAACCATACATTCACACAATAAAATATTTTGCACATAAATTCAAAATTTTTCCCTACTTTATAACCACGCATTCTTCAAAAATCACTATTGAAAACATCAATTTTTTCCTCAATAATGGCCATCAAACATGGGCTAAATCTATAATCGATCTGATTCCTAGGATTCCCCTTTTTTGGGTAGAATAGATTGGGTCAATCTGATTTTCGAGAAACAGCTATTTAATTGAGAGAATCAAATGAAACAAAACTGCAAGATAAGTTGGTTGTTTCTTAAAGTGTTGTCCTTTAAAAATAATTATTAGGAGTTCCGAATATAAGATAACAAATGATTGAACAGATGGGTATAATTCCCCAAAAAGATTTTCAACCAGCTGAACAAATTTACTAATCATTACTACTTACAGCTTTAACACCAGCTTCTTGTACATAGGAAATATCAGCTGGGGTGAAAAGTCCAGATTCCCCAACCACCTGAAGAATTTGAATTTTAGAGGTACACGATATTATCAAGTTGGAAATGATGTAGATTGTACATAATACACTAAGAAAGGAAAAAGAGATGATAAATATTTGGCTGAGCTTAAAATAAATAAAAGTTGCTTTTCATAATAACTTTTTGTTTCCAAACATTTTTGGATATGTTACATTGTCTTACTTTTTAAGTTTAAAAAGTACTTATTATAAAAATAAAAAATAAAAAATAAAAAGTCAAAATATATAACTTTTCATTTTTTACTTGAACCAATTCATAAAAAATTTACTTAAAGGTACGCATTATAAAAACAATTGGGTCAAAATAAATAACTTGCTCATTTTTAACTTGAACCAATTCATAAAAAATTTACTTAAAGCTTACTCAACACTTATAAGTAAACCTTTTAAGCTTAGCCAAACAAGATCCGTGTACTGATGATGCTAGGATAGTCTACTCACTGTTATGCCTTTCTGACGGATCCTTTCACCACGGTCCCCTTCCAGAAGCTTTTTGGTGTTACTAATATCGACCTTAAATGTTTCTGCAAATTCCCGAGGTAAATTAACAACAAAAATGTGCTAAAACCATAAAATGGAGGCCAAGTAAGTAAGTAAATACTTGGTCAACATACAATGAAGTTTCATGTTAGTTATCAAATTTTGTTCTGAAGTGGCTACTAAAGTTCCTTTTTTTTTTTGGGCACTTAGGTAAATTCTGATCATTTTTCTGACCAAATGTATGACATGGAAGACCTCCATATTAATGCCACCGTTAGATGGTCATCTGCTGTGTCACATATTCCATCAGAGAAAGTAAGGGATGTTATTATGTAGCCAAACTGAACTAAGAAAACCAATTCACGCGACCACTTTAAAACAATAAAGTTTCGTGACTAACATGAAACTTGACTGTAAGTTGAGTGACAGTGTCTTTAACCCAAAATACTTCATGTAGGTGCAGTATTAGGGGATAACGTTACACAATTAATTGAAGCCAGAAAGTACCAAGGTCACGATTATTGATGCCAACAAGCTCAATCCCATCTATTTGGAGGACACGATCCATCTCTTTCTCATCATGTACCTAGACGATGAAGTACCAGAAGAGAGGTCAAAAGTGGCAATTCAGATGATAACCTATCATTTCACTCAGCCTCATAAGGTTTAACTAGGGCTGAGCAAATCTCCCGAACCGACCGAACCGGACCGAACCCGACGGTTCTTGTCAAATTAAATACCCAAACGGGTATCTGAATTGAGAACCAACGGGTACGATTCGGTTCTCGGTTCTAGACCAAGAACCGAAGAACTGAATAAGAACCGAATCTTTCTAATTTTTTTTTATATTGAGTAAATCAAATTAAAAAAATTAACAAATTAACAATTTCTAAATCCAAATTTTTGGC